AGGAACAGACAGGGTTGACTGTAAACGCTGCACCTTTGCCATTTCCAATGGCTAGGTTTTGTTTTGATTCAATGTTTTCTTTAGCAGTTTCATGCAACTGAGTTGCTTGCTTGGTCATTTCAGAAAGAGGTGAAAGAACCAATTGCATTGTTATAGGTCTGCAGTCAATTTGGGTAAGGATGTCAAATTTCCTCCTGTAGGATATTAGTGAACTAGGTTTTTTTAATTGCAGTTATTAACTGAATTTAAATTCCCCCTAGTTGTCAAGGTGAGATATGAACTCCTGTCTCCAGAGCATTCATCCAGTTTGGGATCGAACTTTCTCTGTTGACATTTACAATTGACAGCTAAAGGATAGAGTTATGCAGCAAATTTCTTTGATTTCTGGTGGAGATCATCAAGCTGCATCTTTAAAACAAGTTACACTCAAAAGTCAAACGAGTAAAATTCATTACAGTCAATAGTGCAAGGTTCTCAAGAACGGCAAGCTTAAGGGATCAAATGGTTCTCAGTCCAGATGGTTTATTCTCCCCGAAGCTTCTTGCTTACAGTACAAACTATTTACTATGATTTAACATTCCAGAACTAAAGAACATTTTCCAATAAATATCTTGTCTTATCTAGATTGGCATGAATAATTTATCTTCTATCACTACATTGTCTATGGTTCTACATCTTAGTCTTATACTGACACACAGGTCAATATTCATTGTCATCTTTAATGCTACAGTCAATTATTAGTTATGGTGATTTGTTAATTGGAATAATCTAAAGCATTGATCCCTGTTCAGAACTCTGTCAACCTTGTCAGAGAGCACAACATGAACAAATCCATCCACAGATGCTGCCAGACCTGCTGAGCTTTTCCAGCAACATCTGTTTTTAATCCTAATTTACAGCTTCTGTAGTTCTTTCAATTTGTAATGAAAAAATCCCATTCTAAGGGGCAATTAATCAAACCTACTATCTCTGAAAAATATTCGCATCAGTATGCAAAGAGATACAAATATCATTATTGGACAGATTCCACAGATTGAGTAGATTCTTTGTTGGTCATAACATCAGTAAATAACATCAATAAAAATGCAGGCTCTCCATTTAGGACTGTTTATTTAAAAAATAATTACAGCTCTGTTGTAATACAATTGACAAGTTATATCAAATAAAGTGCAATCACAGATGGGTTGTTCCGTACTAGTGACTCAATGCCCATTAATTTTCCAGTATTATGAAGATGAATTCTGGCTTCTGAAATGTGAAATGTCATTATGTAATTCCATTATGTCAAGTTTTGTTTGGGTGTTCACAGGCACACAACACTCCAAAATGTAATTCTCTGACAATCACATGACCAGTAACACAGGTAGAGAACAACCCAGGTGTTAAATTTACAACCACATTTTTGAACCTCACTTTTTCATGTTTAAAAGCATAAGCTGACGTTTCTAGAAACCTGAACAATTTCAAGTTTAAATCACATAACATTACAAAACATGAAGAATATTTGGAAGAAAGCATAAGAGTATTCAGGATTGTTTAAAAATATTATAATAAGTCCAAGCCCTGTGCTCACAAATCGTCAAAACAGTTTTTTCTAATCTTTACCCTGAAAAGTCATCATTGGGCTTAATTAACTCAGCATTATTAGATGCAAGAATGATTTTAGTGACTGCAGAATGTTTTAACTTAAGGAGAAAAGAAAAATCCCAGACTCAAAAATCAGATAAAACAGCAGCATCTTTTGACAAAATACACATTTTCTCTTCTCACTTGCTGCCAGGAATCTGTCACTTAATCTGATACTGACACTCAATGCATTCACCTACTGTCAGGATACCAACATTGAATCCACTGCTTTATTTCACATTTCCAGTATTTTGCTTTTGTTTTACCATTTAATCCATTCATTCTCTTTCAGAACTCTGACACCTTATTCATTCATTACTTGTCAAGATATCAACACACAAGCAGTTTTACAACTAAAAACAAAGAAAATACCCGTTTTTATAGTTGTCTTACATGGTTTGATGTTAAAACTGATTTAAGTTGTATTAAAAACGAGCCACAAGATTCAGCACTGTCCGATGGCTAAGGAATTGATCCTGAAACAACACTTGATTCATTCTGTGATCTAGAAGGCTGAGAAGAAAAAGTCCTTTGGAAATAGACTCAGTTAATGACACCTGTCTCCAGACAAACACACGTTGTCCTCTATCACAGAATCATGGAATCTCTATCGTGTGGAAATAGGCCATTTGGCTCATCAAGACCATACTGACCTCTGAAGAGCATCCCACCCATACCCACCCTCTATCCCATCTCTGTAAACTTGCATTTCCCCTGGCTAATTCACCTAGCCTGCACACCCTGGCCGCTACGGGCAATTTAGCACGGCCAATCCACCTAAGCTGGACATCTTTGGACTGTGGGAGGAAATCGGAGCACCCAGAGGAAATCCGCGCAGACACGGGGAGAATGTGAAAATTCCACACAGACAGTCGCCCAAGGGTGGAATCAAACACAGGTCTCTGGCCCAGTGAGGCAGCAGTGTTAACCACTGAGGCACCATGCCATCCTAGGATATATATCAGGACATCTACAACAACTGTTATCTCACCCTAGAACAGATAAATTATTTCACCAAACAGCCTGTCTTTGCACATTCAGAACCATGGTCCAATTATCAACAGATTGTATACTGGTAGAATTTTTTGAACATTTATCCAAGGACTATACACTCCCTGCATCCCAACCCATGCCTAGAGGGTGTTATTTACATTTAGTATTATTTTAAGAATTCTACTCATTAAGAATTTGGCTGTATGAATAAGTACAATCCATATTGTTTGCAGCCAGTGTGATTTGGGTACTTTAGGTAACTGAAGAGAGAAATATCAAGGATTATATTGGGGTAGAGCCATCTCCCTGATAAGTAGCAATTAAGTGTGTGGGTAATAGTGAGATCATTTCAAGATCAATCCATCGGTTGGTCTAGCTTGCAGTATTATAATAAACTGTAAAACAACACATTAAAAAGTTTCCAACAAACAAGAATAGTAAATCTAGAAAAGCAACCAATTTAGAAAAATCCCTGGTATTGAAGAGGTGGTTTTGAAAATTCTTCAAGAAGTAGTCAAAATATGTAATAAGTAAACAAAGACATACAAATGGTATTGTAAATTGAAATACCTCCTAGTGCAAAATATATTCAAAGCTATATTTTCTGTGGTTTCTCTAACTTTTTCAAAATTTCAGTTAGGAGCATAAGAAGTTTGGAGCACCACCAGAGCTACAGACAGGTTTGCTGCTTTATCTGCTTGATGCCATTACTTAAGATGGGAAGTGGCTGAGAAACACGCTGATCTGCAGACAAATTGAAATTTACTTTAAAAATTGAAATTTGGCATAAGGGAATGCATTTACAAGGGCTGTCAGCAGACAGCTACCATTTTGGTGTTTGATGACAAGGTTTGATGTCACGGACATCATTCCGTTGGCAAGAATTTGATTTGCACTGGTTCTCGGGGTGGAATCTGGGTGGAGTCCACTGGAAAGTTATTTACAAATCTCACTGGCTACGCACTTGGATCCAACACTTCTATTGGACATTGAACAAAAGCGATTTTCAACTTCAGAGTGAATGGAAAACTGCTGTTAACTGCTTATTTCATTATCTTGTGCTCGCATTGCAGGGACTTTTGGGAAGAGTGAACTTATGAAGTATACCCAGAACCTTGCCTTGAAATTAAACTTTCCTGCAAATAGAGGATGAAAGATCAATTGTTTTAATCAGACACAATGCTTCACTTCCTTTAATGCAATAAACACAAGGTGCTTCAGGAAGATGTTACTTTCGCCACTGATTATGAGTGGGCCCAGATCTTAGTTGGTTGTCTATCAATGCCTCTTGGCCAAAGACAATTAATTGTTCCCCAGTGTAAATGCTACTAAAGTTATTTATCTCAGGAATATTTTTACTGGACTTTATTCTGAACATTGAGCAGACAAATCTCAAAATGTCACATTATGGTCTACCAATTTGCCCATCATGTTTCAAGTGCTTGAAATTTAGTAGTCCAACAGTGTAGTACACCAAGGCCTCTAATTACGTGACTAATTCAAATCATAAACCAATGGGGAAAATATGACATTCTGGACCAGCCTAATATGCAACAAGGAACTTCTAGTCATGCAGGCAGCACACAGCCTCCTGAATCAGTATTGGCATCAGGGTTTGCAGAAATCTTCCAGTTGCTCTGCTCCCTCCCCAATGTAACAGAGTTTGTATGGGGAAGGACGGAAAAATAAAAATCAGAAAAATGTAAATCAATGACAATCAGCATTCCCAGTTTAGATTTTTTTCTTCCTTCTGCCTTTGGCACAACCTTTTCCATACCAACCGCCACAGACAGTAGAAGCTACCCCTCCTGGACTCTCCTTGGTTAGTAATTTACGATTATGACTGTCTTCTTCCCCCGGTCTTAGCTGAGTAGCTAGACTGAAAATTGGATCTTTGGACCTTGAAGAAAATCAGGCATTGCAGTGAAAATCATTGAGATATTAATGGATAAAGCTTTTGTAATTTATTCTCAGCAGCTACAATTCACCAACATTATAAAAATCATCTGTTCCTTGATAGTTCAACTAGTAAAGACTGAGTGCAAATGGATTATAATGCTCAATTCTATGTTAACTTTCTAATCTGTAGAGTTTAGCTGACTTCAAGCAGGGGAGATTGTTCCCACAAACAATCAAATTTAGCCTTTCCACTTGAATTCCCTTTCCCTAAAAGGCATGGATGAGGGTTTCAGTCAAAAATGTGGCTGATGCAAAGGAGATGAAGCAGATGCGACAAACTCAAACATGGAGAGATTGAAAAGAGTCCGCTTTAACCAGAAACAGTGGCTGAGAAGGGTACGGAGATACAGATAAAAGAATATTGATAGAGCCGAGGGTTGGTAGTATTTATATGCAAAATTAATCCATACTGTTGGAAGATATCACCAAGCAGCATAATTCAAGGATGATGATGTGGAAGCCAAAAATAAACCCTTGGGAATTCTATTGCGGAGACGGAACCCATTGCTAGTTAAACTCTATTTACAACTCAGTAGGTAGGAGTTGAACCAAGTAAGGATAGTTTCATTCAGCTTGATGGAGTGTAGTGGAGTAAAAGGTTTTGGAGGAAGATAATTTGGTTGATTATCAAAGGGTATAGAGAAATGACTAGTTAGAAATGTGGCCAATACAGCTTGGAACAAATCAGACATGGAGTTGCAAGGAAGATGGTCATTGATTAAGCTGAAGAATTTTGGAGAAGAAAATCTGGTTGGAAATCCAAAGTTTGTTTCCAAAGACACAGGTATTGAGTGGAGGCTTTCAGTTACAATTAAGGGTGATGGTGTTGATTTTGAAAGGATGAAGGTCAACAGGACATTAGAAACAGGATCCATATATAGTGTAAATGCTAGAAATGAGGTTAGGTCATCAGCAATATAATGTGAATGGACTCAAGAGAATAGGAGATTAACCTTGCAACAAGTGGACACAAGTAGTGGTAAAGAAACTAGAGAAAGACAGTCGGAGAAGGTCTGGCTTGATGAAAAAAGTGATAGACATGGTAAAAGGTAGTGAACAGATGGTCTTAAGCATATTGGCGAGATTCTCACATTTCTAATCTGCGAATTAATCATTTTTGCAGGGGAGAGCAAGATCTTGTCCCGATTAATGTGATTGCAGGCAATAAATGGAAAGAATTGATGGAAGGAAATTGAGGGGGTTTTGGGAACATAAGGGTAGGAGCAAGTACAAAAGGCATTAAAAGGTGAAGGTTATATATTGGTTGACTGGATGGATAGCTACAGAGGTTTATGCTAAGTGTTGGACCAAGACTCAGCAGTTAAGGGCCTGAATGTGTAGTTCTAAGTTACTTAGATGAAGGGATTATTCCAGAGAAAGCAAAAGGTAAACAGTGTTCAAAAATGGTTGTGTGAGAAGCGAGGGAGATGTGGAAGTGATTTGAGATGGCTTTAGCTGCGATTGATTCAATAAGGAGGATAAAGACTTTTGTTGAGGGAGTGTTCATGGAAATTGGTGGAAAACTTTAAAATGGAGAAAGAGGCAAAAGAAGGACGAGAGAAGCATCAAGATGAAATACCTGATACCTGTCATAATGTGGAATTTCAAGACAAAGTTCTTTCAATAGCAATCGCATGACATCATCACATTTTGCATGGATCTTCAGTGTAGCAATATCATCCTTTGGTGTCCACTGTTAAAGAAAAGGAAAGCATAACAAATTACAACTTACACTGATTTACTGTCTTTAAAATGGAAAAACGTCTAAAGATGCTTCAAAGTTAATCGGCCTGGATGAAATAGGAAAACATTATGAAGGCAAAAAATGGCGCTGTTTGATAAAGAAATAAGACAGAGCAAGGCAAATAATTTTAGAAGGAATATCTGGAGTATGGTACTGGGAAGTGAGTAGGCAAGGTGGAAAGCAGCGAATGACACTGTTACCAAAGATCAAATAGATGGCGATCGCAACATGCAGTGGACCAGAGTTGGAAGAATGGGAAGCACAACCTTAGACTTAGGCATAGGATCTCAAAAGATTACAAAGAAATGAGCAGGACTGTAGAAGATTGTGAAGATTTTGAAATGGATACAAAGAGATGGAAGCCACTGGAGTCAAAGTAAGAGTGTATGAGGAAGCAGATAATGACAAAAGATTTTGGTAAGGGATGCAGGATTTGAAATTCACCTCAGCACAGCAGGGCAGAAACTTACAGATCATTTAATTTAGGACAAATGGGCATTCAAGATAGTTAAAAATTGGGGAAATCAGGCCTTAAGATTACAGCTCAAAATGAGTACAATGGTTTCAGTCTTACTGATGTCCTGACTCATCCACAACACAATGCCAGACACTCAGTCCAAAGGCACAATGAAGGGCGATGTACAGGGCCAAATCAAGGATAAAGCTTTGCGCACAAAGATTAGTACACAATTAGTACAACTGTGCATGCCAATTTGGAAGTGGTAAAAGCATTCAAACATAAATCAACAAAATTAATTTTGCTGGTGTACAAACAAAACAGAGTGGATTCAAACATAAATATACTCTACTGTTTTAAGTTACTATACTTAATTTACACAAAGGAAGATCAATCACAAAGCTCACTTCTTTCTCACAAGCCACAGAATTTTATTTCACCTCAACACAAAAAAAAAAACACCATCTTTAAAAGGATATTAGATTCACCATGAATTAAAGTCAAAATCTGAACTAATTCTTAGGCCATAGAGTTGACATTACAACACATTAATAAAATGCCAACAGATCATGTAATTTATTACTGAATGGATTAATTTCACTTGCATGACCTGAGGTAGCTAAATTTACAATTTTAGCTATGGAAGTCAGCATATAATCAATCAGTCTTAAAAACAAAGACATTATTACACAAGCCTGTTTTTGAAAGATCAAATTTTGAAATCACTAACTCAACTAATTTAACAGGCATTTAGAGAAAAGGAGATAATACTGCGTCATAGAGAGTAGGATATGACACAAACAGAAAATGCTGAAAACACTCAGCAGGTCTAGTAGCATCTGTAGAGAGAAGCAGAGTGATCATTTAATTTCTGCGGCTGATTTCGAAATCTGACGAATTACTGAAGACCAGAAATGTTAATTTTGCTTCTGCTAATATTAACTGATGCTGACAGACTTGCTAAGTATTGGCAGCATCCACAGTATTTAGCTTTTGTGTTTGTGTAGGATATGGTTCATTGAACTACTTAGCCAGTAGCACAAGACTTCCAGATTTATTGTACACAAAATGATTGTACAAATCCCTCCATGACTGTTAAAACTGAATTCAATCCTCAAAGTGAGTCAGAAATTAAAAAAACTGGTTTTGGTAAACAAAAAAAAAAAAAAAAAAAATCAAAGCTTTGGTTTGCTAACATTTTTTAATAGGGTTGAAAACCTGTTGTTCTCATCTGGTTTGATAAGTGAGACCAGTTCCACACCAATGTAATCAAAATCCACTTTACGCAGACAGCTCTAAATCACAAGAATGAATAAACTAGTGCTTACCTGTAGATTTACTATGTACAACTTTGGCCTTTTATGAGGTACCCTGCTCATGCACCAAAGACATGCATATTTTTTAAGAACCTGTAATAAGGAAAGTGTATTTTTCAAAACAACAAAAAAAAAATAGCTTGATAGAACTTGCTCACATTTTAATGCAGATTTTAGGCATAATATTCAGATTGGACATAACAGAAATGTGAAGGTATTTCTCTAACAAAGAAGCAATTTCAAACAACAGGAGTCAGCATTGTGATCGGCAGTATGCCTTATCTGCCAAAATCCAAATGTGCTCAGCAGACACCAATGTATCTGTTCTTCTCAATCACATTGTTGAACCAAAACACTAGAAGAGTATTATATTTGATGTCTAGCATTGCCTTCACTTGGAGGGTTTGTGTACGCTGGAAGTTGGTGTCCGCAAGAACCACAAGGAAAGGCAGTGTTGAAGCATGAAACATGGTATAGTACATAGCACTATTCTCATTCTTGTTGAGCATACTGTTGAAACAAAATAAAAAGTTACAAGCTGCAATCAGTCTAATCTGGAAATGGGTAGTGCCAAAAATAAGGGCACATAAGCAATTCTTTGCAGTGATAGCTATCTTCAATGCAATTCCATTCCTGAAGTAAGGGAACCAAAATTGTATGCAATATTCCAGCTGTAGTCTCACTAATGCCTTTTAAAGTTTCAGCAATACTTTCTCACCTTTAGTCTCTATTCCTTTAGCAATAAATGCCAACATTTATTTGCCTTATTAGCTGCTGTAACTGCATATCAACTTTCTGCAATCCACATGCACAAGGACACCCAGATCCCTCTGCACCAAAGCACTCTGAAGCTTCTCTACATTTGAATTTGTTTTCTATTCCGCTGACCAAAATGGATAACCTCACACTTATCAACATTGGACATCAGCCAAATTTTGGCCCATTCACCCAACTTATCCATATCCATGTGTAAAATTATTTGTTTAATACATCTTATTTTCCTACCTATTTTAGGGTCATCTGCAAGTTTGGCTTTAGTACTTTCTATCACAGCCAAGTCTGTTAATACACATTGCAAATAGTTGGGGGCCAAGAATCAAACCCTACGCACCCCACTACTTGCATCTTGCCAACTGGAAAAAGACCCATTTATCCAGACTTTTTGCTTTCTGATGATTAGCCAATCCTCTACTCAAGCTGATAAATTACCCTTAAGCGATATGTAAACTTACCATGTGTATTCACCTTTTGTGCAGCATTGTACAAATGCCTTCTCAAAGTCCAAATAAATCATGTCTACAGGATCCCCACTACCCAAATTTCATGTTACATCTTTGAAAAATTCCAGCAAATTAATCAAACATGATTTAGCCTTCACAAAACCATGCTGTCTGTGACAAATTGCATTTTGACTTTCCAAATGTCCTGTTATTTCTCCCTTATAGATGGATTCTCACAATTTCCCAATGGCATGTTAAACTAACTGGTCTGGGGTTTCCTACTTTATGCTTCCATCCCTTTTTGAATAAGGATGGTTATACTGGCATATCTCCAATCCACTGGAACCGTTCCCGCATCCACGGAATTTTGGACTATTATAACCAATGGAGTTTAGGGGAGGTGATGGTCTAGTGGCATTATTACTGTACTGTTAATCTAGAGATCCATGTGACATCCTGGAGATCTAGGTTCGAATCCCACCATAGCAGATGGTGGAATTTGAAGTCAATTTTTTAAAAAATCTGGATTTAAAGAGTCTAATGACAATGCTTAATCCATTGTCAATTGCCAGAAATACCCATCTGGTTCACTAATGTCCTTTAGGGAAGGAAACTGCCATCATTACCTGGTCTTGGCTACAGACCCACAGCAATGTGGTTGACTCTTAACTGCCCTCTAGACAATTAGGGATGCGCAATAAATGCCTAGTCAATGATGCCCTCATCCCATGAATAAAGAAAAAAAATTATGAAATTATGAAAGCTACTGCTCCCGAAGAGTTAAATCTTTTAATGTGGTATTTGTTCATTATTATTTTAAAAGCCAAATAATTTTGACATATGGAGATTACTATGGATTCTATAATCCTTTTTTAAATTTTTACTTATCTTCTCTAGCCTACATAAAAGTTGCTAGAAATTCTTATTTACACAAAAATGTACAAGGTGTGGCATGACTATTTCAAATACAACTCAAAGTCCATTCATTATCTGAAGTGACAAAGGAAGTTTCTGGGAAACATTGTTTAACCTTTAAACTGGATCCGAGACAAATGATGACATCAGCTTTCTTGGCTGCTTCAGCTGCTCCTTTCCAATTGAGTGGCTGCTCCAGTGTTCCCTTTTCCCCAAAGTGCACAATTGTGTCTCGCAGCTCACCGTTACATTTGTGGCACTTTCTTCCAGTATTGTGTTTGTGCAGTGATGTGCGTTCCGTGACATCAAATAGACGAATATATTCTCTGTTAGGAGAGCAATATGTGCATACCTGCGAAAACCACATCACCATAATCAAGAGAAATGTTAACAGTAATCAATAGTGTCTGTAATTATATCAGGGAGTATAGAAACTAAACATAATGAGAAGCTAACAAAGTGCATGCAAGGCAGACGTCCAGGTACAGCGGTGACACAGTAGCAGAGATACAAATTGGCAGGTTAGTAGAAGATACAGTTATGTATAAATGGATCAGTTTCTGATTAGCAGGTCTGACAAATGGAGTCCCACAGAGGTCTGTGCTGGGCCCTCAATTTTTTACAATGTTACATTAATAATATAGATGAGGGTACTGAAGGCATGGAGTCTAAGTTTGCAAATTACACAAAGATTGGTAGGAACATTTGTTGCTGATGCAACATAAGGAGGATGCAGACAAATACAGTTAAAGTGAATAGGCACAAATCTTGCAGATAGGAGCGTAATGTGGGAAAATGGGAAGTTCACTTTGGCAGGAAGAATAAAAGAGCACAGTATGACTAAAATGGAGAATGATTGCAAAATTCTGTGGTGTAGACAGATCTAGATGTCCTAGTGCACAAGTTAAAAAGGATTACATGCTGTACCTAGCTGCGTATTAATCAGGGAGGCTAATGGGACGGTCGCCTTTATGATGAGAGTACTGGAATATAAAAGTAAGGATGTTATGCTTTATTTATACAGGGCATTGGTGAGACCACAGAACAAAGAATGTATACAGTTTTGTTCTCCTAATTTAGGGAAAGATGTAAATGCACTGACGGTGATTCAGAGATGGTTCACTGCATTGTTACCTGGAGGGAGTGAATTGTCTTATGAGGAAAGATTCAATAGGCTGGGTTTGTTTTCACTAGAGTTTAGAAGAGCAAGGGATGATTTGATTGAAGTTTAAAAGGTCTTGAATTGTCTTCACAAGATGGATGTGAACAGGACGTTTAATCTTAGGGAAGAAGGGGACACTGTTTTTAAAGTAGTAACTGTCCTTTTAGGACAGAAATGAGGGGAATATTTTACCCCTCAGAGAAACGTGCAACTTCTAACCCTGTGGCTCAGGAGGAGGTGCAGGTGGGGGTCATTGAATATTTATAACTTGGAAGTAGGTAAATTCTTGTTAGGCAAGGGAATCAAACATTACTGGGGACAAGTGGGAATATGGGATATTGGAACACCAACAGTTGAATAGAAGAGCACTTTTAATGAGCTGAACAGCCCTCTTTTGCTCTAATTTGTATGTTCATCTGAGAGCCATTTTAATTTTACAGCCCACAGCTCTTAAAAGAATCTGGCCACTAATTCATAAAATGATAGACAGTTGTGAGAAAACCTTAGTGAGGAGTGCAAGTTAAGATTCTGTACCTAGGTACCCTTGTATCTAAGATAGTGCCATTAAGCAGCAACTTGAAAATTTTTCACTATACTCACGTAAGTAACAATAAAGCTAATTCAATTCAATGGTCAGAGTCATGTCTTAATAACTATTCATCAGACTTCGCCACTTACCATTCCATTATTTTATGTTTCTTGAAACATGATTGATAGCCCTCCCTGGCAAAAATGTTGGCCGTTGTAGCATCTCTCTATTAATTTTACACTAACTTTTTATTTTCATAAATCAAAAAAACAGTGCACTTCTAATATGTAGAAACCTCCAGCAAGGAAAGACCCATCCAGCCCAACAGACTAAACCAGTATTTATCCACCATAAAAGCTTCCTTACACGTTGCAGTTAATATTCTTCTTTTCCTTTTCCACTATGAATTAAGTCCCTCCTTAAATGTGTTACTGCATTGTAAAGCTATTTGTCTCAACCTTTCCATGTCACATGAATTCAACACTATACTCATCCTATTTGCAAAGGATTTCCTCCTAAATCAATTTAATCTGGCTATGTATGTATCCCTCCGTTCTGTGTTCATTCACAAGAGGAAACAGCTCCTCCACAGCCATTCTACTAAAGTCTTTAAAAAATTAACAACCACAGTGTCTCAGTTTTCACCTTCACAAAGCTACAGCCTTCTTAATTGGTGTTTGCTATGTGGAAAACTCTTGATGTTAGAAACTGTAGGTGGTTGAGTCAATTGTACAACTCAGAGTTATGAATCTTTTCTTGCATTGTTCTTTGAGTTACGCCCAGGACATTTTTGCCTGTAATTTCCTCTTCTGAGAAAAAGAGCAAACAAAATAAGGAAGGCAGAATATTTCAAACTTATACACTGCAGTATTTTAATTGTGCCTCAAAGGCAAAAATCATGCATATCAGTAAATAGCTGAGCTATATAGATCAGAAAGGACCTGAGTTCACTGCCAGTTTGCTCAATTATTTGATCTCAATCACATCAATTACAGCACAACAACTGGCTTCAGGTCTTGGGTTACAAATGCAAAAATCTGCCTTAGTATCCATTCAGAAACTTTATTGGGAGTATATAGAGATGAACAATGGGCAAATATATATTTTGGGAAAAAGATAATTCTACTCATTTTTCCCATTTTGATTCCTTACTGCAGTGTTGTCACAGGCTTACAGGCCATCTTGTACTGCTCCGTCAAGTGGTCATTATTTATGTATGAATCGTAACAGTACAGAGGTAATGTGCTCAGGAGAAGGAAAATCTTGATTGAAAAAGAAATTACAAAGACATTGTTGTAAGATATTTTAATTTTAAAACATCTAAACATGGTTACAAAAAGAGAAACAAACACAATTAGTGTGTGACATTACCAACTATCTTTAAGTGACAAAAGACAAGCAAATTGTCAGACAGGTTCACATGATAAATTATGGGTGCATCCTGATGTCCCAATAATGAGATTAATATTGGTATAACATACTCATGCTATGTGCCAGCTTCTCAATCATCTTACCTCTATGTACATATTTCCATGTAGCTCAGAAAGTGCCTTCCGGGGTAAACTGCTACGTAAATGTAATCCATCACAATTCTGAGACACTACGTGGCGCACCTGGAGGGAGAAATATAACAAGGATACTTCTAAAGCTGGGTTTTTGAATTCTCTACGTTCTGATATGGCCATGAAAAGCCTCGCGAAAGGCACAAAGTCAAATGCTAACCCGAGTTCTTCATATTTTAATAAAAAAAATCAATTTGTAAAAGGCAGATGTAACCAATTGCTTTACAGTGACTAGTGACCCAAGAGACGTTTCCCCTCAACTATATCTCAGGATTTCCCAAAGATAGAGATGGCACAGATGAGGAGGATAATGAACCATTGTCTTATACACATCCCTTCCTTCAGTTGGATTTGAGTTCACAAAACAATTTCTACCTTGTCAAAAAGAGAGGGAACAGTGATTTAGTAAACTAAAAGCACTGCAAATACAAAATAGCAATTTAACTGAGAAAAAGCAGAAAATTTTTCCTTTGGAAACTTTTGGCATTAAGGAGTCATTTTATCCCGTGAGGAAGTGAATATTACACCACAGAGCCAATTAATTTTAATGATGCAGTTAAACTACAATTATAATTAACTGTTCTTTACTGAATTAAAAAGGAGCTATGTTGAAAGAAAGGGACTGTAGATCATAGCAAGATTAACAATGCGCATTAGCAGTGATCAAGAACTCAACTGCTAAGCTAATAAACAGGGATAAATGGGACAATCATACAGAAGTCCATAGTTGCGCCTTTCCACAAAGGCATTATTTTACATGGCTCCATTAAATGTTTTATAGTTAATGGCTTTCTTGCAAAAGAAAAGGGAAGGAAAAGCCTAAACTGTATGACACATTACTGAAATTCTGTGCATTGAAAATTAAGGATTTAACAATTGTCGAATCCATGAAACCAAGGGCTTACTAGTTTAACATTTGCAATTTTCAATACCTACTGTTAAGTCTTCACCAACATTTTGACACTAATTATTGGCCAGAAAGGGGCGTGTTTATTTTAAGTCATCTAATTCCTATTTCAGTGTTAATCTCAGCTGGTCAACATGGTTGTCTCATGTTTTTATATTTTCAGCACAGAAATTTTGGTGTATTTGATTTCTGTCCAGCTATATTTGAGGAAGTTTCTTTATTCTGTTCTAGTTCTACATATGCCAGCAAGGAAAGTTTTACAGTGGGCTCAAGGGAATTTTAATTGCATTATTTGAATTTCATCCAGAGTTGTCCCTGAACACACAAATGATTAGGGTTTTCCATAGTGAAAGAATTAAAAACTTGCTGACATTTATTCTACACAAGTCAGTTTTTTATTGAGAATTTAATTTCAGAAAACACTTTTTTTCCATGGCGCCTGCAAGAATTCATGATTATTAAAATGATATGCAAATATTTACAAAAGGGTTCCCAAATGATTTTCTCTACGACAGCATAGATATACAAGACAGTATCCATTAAATTGCATCTAATACCAACCTGCGTGTACAAGCGAATTTTGTTGCTTTGATTTGGGATAAAGAAGTGCAAATAGCCCACTCCAAACCTCTGGTCTGACCTATGCTTGTAGGTCTAGGTCAATGAGTAAAAAGTGCGCATTTCACTGAATTAACAGGGCTTGTAGAGCTGATTGACAGAGCATGGAGGCTGCATGTCAACTACAGACTCAGTTTGAACATCTGTCTTACATTAAGGAAAGAAGAAATTGGCTGAGCAAGATAGCAAAAACAATATTGACTAATGTGACCAAGTTCTATAGTAAAAATAGGGACAGGTTGTGCAAATGGGTTTTCAGATAAATAAAGGGGTAGATGGCTGAGGGGACAGGAAAAATGGCTCAGGATCAGAAAACAAAGATTAGTGGCACATGGTTATTTTTCAAACTGCCAGGAAGTATGCAGTGGTGCCCTCTCAAGGTCAGTGTTGGAATCAATCTTCTTTTGAATATGTATCAATGACCTGAACTTAGGAATGCTGTACTGAACAAAATCTGAAAGTTTCAGGGAAGACACAAAGCAAGGAAATGTACTAATAATTGATGGAGGGTTGCAAATGAATTCAGAAAGACATACTGGTGAAATGGACAAATGGCGAACACAACTTAAAGTTTTAAGAAGTCTGGAGTAATTTATTTTGTTGGGAACAAAGAGTGGAAGCACTTGGAATGGTAAAATAATGGTTGTTACTAAACTAGAAATTTGGAGGTCTGGACTAATGAATTCAAAACTAGTTAATTAAAAAGGTTTGGAATAAAAAAAAACTAGATCAGTAATGATGACCATGAACTACCAGACTGCTGAAAAGCCCTAAACTAAAACAAAGAAATGCAGATTTGGAGATCTGAACCAAAACAGAAATTGCTGAAGAAACTCAGCATGTCTGGCTGCATCGTTAGGGAGAAAGCAGAGTTAACATTTCAAGTCTGGCAAATCTTCAACAGAATGCTAGATTCTGCCAGCCTGAGTCTCTCCAGTGATTTCTGTTTTTGTTGCTGAAAAGCCCACTTTGTTTACTGATGTCCTTTAGCAAAGGCAAGTACTTCAGACTGGAATGTAGTTGAAGATTAACCCCTCCTGGGATAGGTTAGTAAGCCACTCAGTTGTCAAAGATAGGTCACCATGCTCTCGTTGTCAGTTAGTGTTGAGCAATAAATGCTAGCTTTGCTAGTGATGCCCATATCCTATGAATGAGCAAAAGAAGCAAGCTAACTTAAAATGTATCAGAGATAGCAGGAACTGCAGATGCTGGAAAATCTGAGATAACAAGGTGTAGAGTTGGATGAACACAGCAGGCCAAGCAGCATCATAGGAGCAGGAAGGCTGATGTTTCGGGCCTAGACCCTTCATCAGAAATGGTT